TCTGTGAATGGCTCAGATGAAATCAATGGGAAGATGGTAAGAAAGGAAAAAAAAGTTAGTTTGCAGATTGATTTTTCAGGGGAAAAACCACCTACACCATTTTTGGATACAGTCAATTATCCAAAACATATGAAGAATCTATCCAAAATGGTAAACTCCTAATCAAACAATTAAAATAATTAAGCCATTTTTGGATTATTTGATTGATATGCTTTTTTTTTTTCGAATAAAAAACAGGATCTTGAACAGTTAGCTGCAGAAGTAAGAGCAGAGATTGTGTATTCAGTGGCGAAAACCGGAGGTCATTTGAGTTCAAGTTTAGGTGTTGTGGATTTAACTGTTGCTTTGCATCATGTTTTTGATACTCCTGAGGATAAAATTATATGGGATGTTGGTCATCAGGTGAATAAATCTTTGTTCTTTTTTATTTCCTTGAAGAATAGATAGTTTTATACGGAGTTAATGGTCAAAACACACCTGAAGTATCCTGGTTTTTTGAGTTGGATACCTGAACTATTAGGTATTCGAGTTTCCTACCTGGACTATCACCATATGTTCATCGAAACACATCCAACTATCAATTATTCACTTTTCCTACCTGAAATATCACCATCGTTCAGGTAGGAAAAGGAATGTTTTGATAAATATTTAGTGATAGTTTAGGTAGAAAACTCGCACATATGATAGTTCAGGTATGAAACTTGATAAAACGGAATAGTTTAGATGTGTTTTTGACCGTTCACTCTTTTATATATATAGTGGAAATTGAAGTGAACAAAAAAAAATTGCAGGCATATGCACACAAAATTTTGACAGGAAGGAGGTCTAAAATGCATACAATGAGAAAGACTTCAGGGCTAGCACCTTTTCCTAAAAGAGATGAAAGTGCTTATGATGCATTTGGTGCTGGGCATAGTTCAACAAGCATCTCTGCTGGTCTTGGTAATATTTTCAGTCCATGACTTCTTCGCTGCTTTATTTGCTTTACATACTTGATTTTTGATATGCTTGCTCGAGCCGAGGGTCTATTGGAAACAACCTTTCTACCTTCACAAGGTAGGGGTAAGGCTGCATACACATCACCCTCCCCAAACCTCACTTGTGGGATTATATTGGAAATGTTGTTGTTGTTGTTGTATAACGGTACAAGTTCAACTGTCAAAGTATTGTCCGCTCTGGCCTGACTTTTGGGGTCTCGCGGTTTTGTCAGCCGTTTTTAGCATTAAAGGTGAAGTTACAGTTGAGTTCTTGATTTGCCTTGTATGGCTCCTAACTTTCCCCTCACGTTCCAATGTGAGATTTACTCTTCACGTTGAACCCCTTTTTGAGTTCAGAGGTCCGTTGATGAATCCTAAGTACATAATTTGGAGTTTCTCTAAGTTAAATGATGTGCTGCAGGCATGGCGGTTGCTCGAGATCTTTTAGGAAACAACAACCATGTCATTTCTGTAATCGGAGACGGAGCCATGACTGCAGGACAAGCATATGAGGCCATGAATAATGCAGGATTCCTCGACTCGAATCTTATAGTCATACTGAATGATAATAAACAAGTTTCTTTACCAACCGCAACCTTAGATGGCCCTGCAACTCCAGTAGGAGCCCTCAGTAGTGCCTTAAGCAAAATCCAAGCTAGTCGTAAGTTTAGACAACTCCGCGAAGCTGCAAAGGTATATCTGGTTCATTTTTTCGCATACTTAGTTGTATTCGAGGATAGAAATTAAGCAAAGGTGTTAAAAGTACTTTTGTTTAATGTGTTTTGTAGAGTATAACAAAGCAAATTGGACCTCAAACACATGAAGTTGCAGCTAAAGTAGATGAATATGCAAGGGGAATGCTTAGTGCTTCTGGTTCCACACTTTTTGAGGAGCTAGGATTATATTACATCGGTCCAGTAGACGGACACAATATCGAAGACTTGATCACTATTCTAAAGAAGGTAAAAGCTATGCCTGCACCAGGACCAGTTCTAATTCACATTGTAACAGAGAAAGGAAAAGGATATCTTCCTGCAGAAGCAGCAGACGATAAAATGCACGGTATGGCAATTGGAAATAAGAAGATTACTACTTGTAATAAAATTTTGAAAAACTGAGATTTTTCGTTTGTGATGTTCAGGGGTGGCACAGTTTGATCCGAAAACAGGAAAGCAATTTAAGGCCAAGTCGCCTACGTTGTCATATACTCAATACTTTGCTGAATCACTGATCAAAGAAGCCGAAAATGATAAAAAGATTGTAGCTATCCATGCTGCAATGGGTGGTGGAACCGGCCTCAATTATTTCCAAAAACAATTTCCAGAACGTTGTTTTGACGTTGGCATTGCTGAGCAACATGCAGTTACTTTTGCAGCTGGCTTAGCAACAGAAGGTCTAAAACCATTTTGTGCTATCTACTCCTCGTTCTTACAACGAGGCTATGATCAGGTAACTAACAACACAATACAATACAATATAGTATTAAATGAAGGGTACTCTACAATATAAGTCTTGCATTTACGGATTGTTATACTGACATTGCATATTTGTAAAAAAAAGGTGGTGCACGACGTGGATCTTCAGAAGTTACCTGTCCGGTTTGCAATGGACCGAGCTGGTTTGGTTGGTGCAGACGGTCCAACACATTGTGGAGCATTTGATGTGACATACATGGCTTGTTTGCCAAATATGGTAGTCATGGCTCCATCTGACGAAGCAGAGCTAATGCATATGGTTGCAACAGCAGCAGCTATTGATGATAGGCCTAGTTGTTTCAGATTTCCTAGAGGAAATGGAATTGGTGCAGTTCTTCCTCTTAACAATAAGGGCATACCAATTGAGGTACAAAATCATTACCAATTCACCTCTAGTTTCAGCACTTAAAAGTACTGTGTTTGAACACTTGATGTTTTTATCAGCTAATCAAAACGGGCTCTAAATTACATCGCCTTTTTTATCTATGTTGTAATATTGGCAGGTTGGTAAGGGAAGAATACTGAGAGAAGGTGAAAGAGTTGCCATTTTGGGATATGGTTCGATAGTACAACAATGTTTGGGAGCTGCAGACATCCTAAACTCCCATGATGTAAGAGTAACAGTAGCTGATGCTAGGTTCTGCAAACCATTAGATGCTGATCTTATTAAGAGATTAGCCAAAGAACATGAAATCTTGATCACTGTTGAAGAAGGATCAATTGGAGGATTTGGCTCACATGTGTCTCATTTCTTAAGCCTAAACAGCATTTTGGATGGACCCCTTAAGGTAAAAATCACTACTGAATCTGTGTTTGATACGACAAAAGTCATTTTTCAAGAAAATATTTGTTTAGCTATGTTGTGCGGACTCTCCAACCGAGAGTCTTTCAGAAACATCCACTCTACCTCCACGAGGTAAGGGTAACATTGGGTATGTTATTGTTGTTGTGCGAACTCTCCAAATTGTTGTTGCCCTCGTGGCAGATCCTCCAAAAATGCACTACTTCTGGAGGATCCAACAAGCACCTAACAACGCTTTTGAAGAGTCCGAACAACGTAGTTTTCTAAGTCATATTTGGTTATCTGAAAATATTTTGTTAGAAAGAAAATGACTTCCCTTGCTTACATGCACAAGTCATTTTTCTTACGATTATCTTAACTCTTAGCTTCTTTTCTACTTTCTTTGACTAACACTACATGTCACGTAGGATGTTGGAGTTAAGGAGTTACCAAATATTAAACATGACATTCTGTTATTAAACAGATTGAAAAGGAAAGTAATTAAGACACATAAAATGAAATCGTAAAAAACATTTTCTAGGTCTATGGAAAATGACTTCCGTCATATCAAACATGTTCAAATATTATAAATTCATGAATCTTTTCTTTCAAGTGGATTTATTTATTTCCTTTTTTTTCTCACTATTTTTAATTTTAAATCTTGAATTTTGCAGTTGAGGTCAATGTTACTTCCAGATAGATACATTGATCATGGTTCACCAGTTGATCAAATTGAAGAAGCTGGTTTATCATCAAGGCATATTTGTGCTACAGTTCTAACATTATTGGGATGGCCACAAGAAGCTATGGTAGTAAATCAAATCTCCAAAATGCTATAGGTTCTACGGACCGATGCCTTCTGCTTCATCCGAGAGGAAAGAATCATAGATACGCCGGTCATTAGAAGGAAGAACCATCATACATTATTGGGAAGTGAAATTCTATAGAGTTTGTGGTAGTAGTGTACATTAGTGACATTTCATGAAGTGATGATCATATTGTAGAAAGTGTTGGTGAAATAAGATATTATTAGTATTATGTAGTAGTTTAACGTAGTAATCATATTGTAGAGAAACAGAAATTGTTAAATCTACTATATATATAAATAATATAAGTTCTTATGATCTTTCCTTTAATTTTTATTTTTTTTGAAACCCAAGGATAACTTGCAGCCAATACAACCTCTGCCACAGCCTCTTACCCTTCGAGTGAGCACTTTGTGCGCACTAGGTAAACCCCCATTGTGTAATAGCCTGCAAACCACACAGGGCATGCACTAGGCAAGCCCTATGCGACAGGGTCAACTTAGAAGATATTGAGGAGGGATCGGTCCCGGGTCATCCATGTGGATAACCACCCTTCAAACCAACTGAGCCATCCCGAAGGACCCTTTAAATTTCTTTTGTTAGTACAGAAATATTCATGTGTGTGTTAATCAGAAAAATCATGTGTAGTGATATATATATATGATAAAAATCACTAGAATTTCAACAAGTATAAGTTCTAAACCCATAATTTCATAAATGCAATGAGCTCAATGCTAATAGTTTTACATGTTGAACTCATCAACTTTAAGTTCCAAATCCGACTCTATAAAGGACGGTACACCACGTCTAGTACCGCATTAGCTCAACTAAGTTTGTATCAAGTGCTTTGTTGTTTAGCACTACTAAGCTTCACCGAAAGGCGAAAACTGTTGTATAACACAGAGGCTTTAAAGTCTAACGCCTAATTTCGAAAGCAAGCAGCTAGACAACATATATATATATGGAGCATGCATACTTACAGGTCACCAAATGCACCATCACTATTTTCTAATGACGAAGAAATACTCTTATCGACATATAAGGTAGCATCTATATTCTTGGTCAGTCTATGTCCCGGAGCACTGATTACAAGAAGATGAAGGCTTGAAGAAGGCTTTGTGCAATCTGGATCTGTTCAGGTGTACCGGAAATGATCACCTTTCCATCACATTCTCCAGGACCTGGATCTTGTAGGACAACTGTGGCTCCAGAGATCTGATATAGAAAACAGATACAATCAACATAAACTTAATGTGTTGATAATAATGCAAGTTTAATGACATGATTTTGACCCTAAAAAAGAAAACCTTGGGCTCGGAATCACATCGATTCATCCTAGTTTTCTTCCCTATCTTTTGTTACCTTCCCCTTTGCATTCTGTTGCTCTCATCTGTTTCCCTCTCTTCCTTTTTTTTCTTTTTCTGTTGTTTTATTCCTTTTCTTTTTAGGGGGTGTTGACCTTACCTCTTTCAGTCGAGTCAAATTGGAACCATCCTCACCATAAACAGAACCAAATTTTTGTTTTGGAACATTTATCACGACGGGTTTGCTTGCTGTCTCATTCTCATCCATCCTGATCAGCCAATGAAAAGTAAGAAACATCACAAAGCAGGTATATATAGCGTCCGAGGAATAAGAAATAACATATGTTTCCTAGGTTTTTTGCTTGTGGAAAACAAAATTGCCAGGTATCAAGCTGTCCTTATAAGATAACATTAAATAATAATAAAAAAAGAGCGAAGGGTCAAAAACACCACCCAAAGTCTGTTGCTCGGACTCTTCAAAAATGTCAACAGGTGTGTGTCAGAGTCGCCAAAAGTAATGTATTTTTGGAGAATCCGACACTGGTGCGGCATCACAAGTGAAGAGTACGCGCAACTAAGCCTAAAGTAGCCCGGTTTTTTGAGTTTCATATATGAACTTTCAAGTGGGTGAGTTTCCTTACTTGGAACTATCACCAAATGTTTATTGGAACACCCCTCACATATCAGTTGTTCCCTTTACTACCTGAATGATGCTGACAGTTGAGGTGTGTTTTAATAAATGATCGATAGTTCAAGTAGGAAAGGTAGAAAAGTAAATATTTGATAGTTCAAGTAGGGAACTCGCAAAAACGTGTACTTCAGGTGTGTTTTGACCATTACCGCTAAAAGAAAAATTAAAAAATAATAGTTATGTGTGCCAGTCAGAACTCAAACCTTCCACTCTCACGTCCACCATGAGAACTCTTCCAGCCACCCATGCTTTGTTTGACCGGCTTGCCCATCTTGCTATTCAATCTATCCTTGAACTGCAAAAAAAAATACCTTTCAAATATTAAATCCCCAAGAGATATTCCAGACAAAGAATCCCCCATAAGCAAATAGGATACAGCTTTCAAACCTTGTCCTGTAACAATGTATGAGGACCACCAAGATTTGGTCCAAAGCCAAGGTGATCCGTTTGGTAAAGAGAAGAAAAGCTGGACAAGTGATTCGGCTGAGAAGGCATACTAGTACCAAATTCATGTTTACTGCTCTCGGAGCGCGAAGAACAAGAATAGTTTGTAGGTACTGCTCCTTCAGAAACCAAGCTGGAAAAGACCATTTCCCTCAGCCTACCAGTAAGTTGAATAAGGGCATTCCTCACGTTATCATGCTCGCCAATGATCTGCAGAATAACACCTTTATCATCCAGTTGCAAATAAAGCAAAAATGAGCGCAAAAAATATTTTAAAGTCAAAAGTTGCATTAAAGGGCATAATAGAAGAAACAATCCATATACCGGGTAACAATTATTTGTGATCAAGGTTTAGTTCACTAGTCTTTTTATTCTTGCTAGAGATTTGTTTATCAGTAGAAAATGTAAAAAAATAAATAGTGCAAGAGCCTAAGTATTCAAATATAGGACTACTACTACTGCTAGTCTAAATGGAGCAACATGGACCATGAGAATTCACACACACACGAACACACAGTGAACTCCAACTAGCTTGGGATTTAGGCATGGTGGTTGCGTTTAATTAGTACATGTGGCAAATCAACTATAGACATCCAATTTGCAATGGAGAGACTACCTTATGAGAAGAATATTAAAAGTACAAGTAGGGGTCATTTGGTAGTTGGTTAGGCAATTTATATAGTTGGCATGTGAAAGTAGTGTAATCAAATGACCTAATTAGTTAAACCAGCATCCTGTAAGCTTCCCAGTTCAAGTTTGAAGACATTGGTTATGGGTAGTTGGAATTACTGATCTGTGATATTATCTCAAATAGCAACAAGAACTCCCATGCAAGAACAGGAGACATTAAACTAGATCCATGCAGAAACCTTGAATTATTTCAACGTGGATTAATGCAATTTACCTTAAGTTTCTGAACTTCAATGCATGAACTTTGGAAGCACTTAAAAGAAAGAACATTGAAGATTTAATTTAACTCTAGGTTTAAACTTTATCTAGCAAGATAAGTGTTAAATATCATGGTTACAATGACAAGTTGTGATGTGTGCTAGATTATCTGGATGTTGCAATAATTGAAGCAAGATGACTTTTTTCCTTCTTATGAAGTTGAAGAGAAGTTATCAATACAACAATAACTATGCTCAATCCCAAATAAGTTGGGGTCGGCTATATCATTTCGTCATTTAAGCTCATATCATATCATCATCCTAATAAATAAATAAAATAAAAGTGAAAAATACGTTTAAAATATAGATGAATAATACTTGCAATAAAAGTTTTATACGTGCCTAAAACCTATCCTCAACCAGTAGCTATCACGTAAATGGCTCTTTTTCTTCCATAGTCAAACATTTTACACTGTTCTTTTCCAATTTTGTTATTGGTTAACATAGAGGCGAACCAAAATTTAGTTATTATGGCTACAAAACACATTTAAGGAAGTACAGAACTGTCACTAGTTTGACTCATAGAGATCGAAGTAGTAGTTTACGCTCATACCTGCACTATTTTGTCATTCTCTGCAGCACAGTTTGGAGCGTTCTCTGCATCCAATAGCTGTACTTCAACCCCCATCGCTGAACCTATATCCAATGAAACTATTCCCTTTTCATCAAGGAGGCATTTAACTTCATGCGGCCCAACTAAGATTCTTGCACTTATTGAGCCAGCCTTAATGTGTCCATGTTCACGGCTAACTTCTACAGATCTTTCAAACACTCGATCTGTGGCAACTTGTGCAGGCGAGTACAATGGCTTCCGGATCTAAAGAAGATCTCAAAACAGTTAGAGAAAACAGCATTTGTAAATACCTGTCAAAGTGTCATAAATGAAGCACAATGGAAAATTGCATGACTAGAAGTTAAATAATGAGGAAGCATGATAGTCACTGAACTTCAAGCGAAGATATGATGGCCACACGCTCTTTTGACCGTACTGTTGGAGTGGAAAACTTTATAGAAGCTCCAGTATCTTTCTCTAGAGCTTTGACAATATGGGCACCCTTACCAATCACACCTCCAGCAGAGATATAAGAGCAAAGCAATCTAAAGACTACTTTTCTTTGAGTAGAGTCAGAATCCAGATTCAGAACTCTATCAACATTGGATGACAATGAATGGGCTACTGAAGAATGATTAATGGCATTTCTCGGCAAAGGTTGTATTGAGGATTTGGTATCCAGAGGATAGTCCGCAGGTTGTTCATGGGATGCACCTTTTGAAGTAACTTGGTCTTTGTATCTCTCAGCTGGTAAACGAACTTGAAGACGCCGAGAAACATGAACCAATGCTCTCTTTACCACAGCAATTACACCCATTATCTGCATTGTTTTGAAAATTCAATTAGAGATTGAGTAAATCAAATGCATGCGTTTCCCCTTCAAAGAAAATCACTTCATTTGCCACATCCAAATGTATCTCAATTTTCCATAACAAAAGACAAGCTTGGAAAAAAATATCAGAGTAAGGAGTTCTTTTCTGATTTGTCAATGTACTCTCCACTTCATGGGACGTAAACCAAATATACAAAAGGAAATAATGCTAGTAAAAGGATGCAAATAGAATAAAAGGATGCAAAAGTTGTGACATGCCACAATGCTTCTCAAACGCTGTCTTTCCGTTGAGAAAAAAAAAGAAGCCCATTTCCAGATCTAGTAAGTCCTTCATTTCACCTCACCAAATAACAACTACCTTTCCCAACACTCACATCAATTCACACACTAAGTTTTCCCTCCTTTATTTTTCAATGATTATTTTTTGGTGTGGCTGTCAAACATGTGGCAGCTATATCAGGAACTTTGATTTATCTCAAAGATTACCAAAATTACCAGATTCCATCTGCATCCAACTGTAAGGCAAGAGGTCAACACAGTTGTGGCACGTGGCAGCCACATGAGAGAAACCCTTCCGTCAAAACTACATTTTATTAACATTCTCACCAGACTCTAAAGAAAAGATTAGTCCTACGATCTGATATTTCATTTCTTCTCTAGTTAACATCTAAAAGTTGGTGGCGGCAAACACATTGAACTAACTACTGAAAGCAATTTGAATTGTCAATACTCAATAAAACAACGCCTAAATCTCAAACTAGTTGGAATTTCTATGTAAATATTCTATATTCATTCTACATTCTCAATCTTTATGAGGTAGGGGTAAGGTCAGCGTATACTTTACCCTTCCCACACCCGCTTGTGGGATTACACTGAGTATGTTGTTGTTGTTGTTGTTATCTTCTATATTCGTTCCACTCCATTTCATTTCAGTATTCAATAATTTGTGACAAGTTAGGGGTTATCTAAGAGAGTTCTCTCAATAGCAAACACATTAAACTAACTATTGAAAGCAATTTGAAATGTCAATACAACGGCGACGACTCAATCTCATACTAGTTGGAATTTCTATATAAATATTCTATATTCATTCCACATTTTCAATCTTTATGAGGTAGAGGTAAGGTCTACATACACTCTACCCTCCCCAGAGCCCACTTGTGAGATTACATTGGGTATGTTGTTGTTGTTGTTGTTATCTTCTATAATCATTCCACTCCATTTCATTTTAGTACTCAATAATTTGTGACAAGTTTGGGGTTCTCTCAATAGCAAACACATTAAACTATCTATTGATAGCAATTTGAAATGTCAATATAACGGCGCCTCAATCTCAAACTAGTTGGAATTTTTATATAAATCTTCTATACATTCTCTATCTTTATAAGGTAGGATAAGATCTGTGTACACTCTACCTTCCCCACCTTCCCCAGACCTCACTAATGGGATTACACTGGTATGTTGTTGTTGTCGTTATCTTCTATAATCATTCTACTCCATTTCATTTCAGTACTCAATAACTTGTGACAAGTTAGGGTTCTCTCAATCTCATTGCCATACGATCACTAAACGAACGAAAAAGACTAATACCAAACACCAAAATAATATAAGCATACAATGTATATACAACACATTAATTCTAGGAACATGCCCTCACCTGAATCAATTCTTCTCCCGGGATGGCACAAGCTGGAAGCTGCTCTTTCGTCAAAACCTTAATCTTAGCTCCTGTACTTTTCCTTATACCATCCACAATTACACCACCTTTTCCCATTAAAGCTCCAATTTGACCAGAAATCGCAAGCAATCTGCACCCAACTGCTCCACCATTCCCTTCCAGCTGCAAAACCCTTTCGTAAACCCGAATCAAACCTTCCTGTGCTCTAGAAACTTCCACTACCTCAACTTCCTCATTACTCCCATCATAGCTTATCCTGATTTTCCTATCGATAATCGAATCACCTATGATGTTCACAACCCGTTCATGGCAATTCGGTAACGGTTCCTCAAACCGGATTCTGCACCCGGTTTGAGCTTCCAGCTGCCTAATTAAACCTCCGGAGTTCCCGATGACTCCGCCAGCTGTGCTGACGTGGCAGAGTAAGCGGAAATGAACTTGACCCGTTTGAAGTACCGCTGTTGGATCTCCGCCGCTACCGCTACCGCTGCCGAACCTTTTGATCGGCGGACGGTAGTGGTTTTGGTTGTTCATTTTTGTTTTTCAGACGAAAAACAGAAAGAGAATTGAGATCTTTTTTTCTAGTTTATATAAAATTGTTGTATATAGATAGTTTCTATAACATAAAAAGAAAATCCTATGCTTTTCGCCGGCGGCGGAAGGAGGAGCACGGCGTATGAGGACCTCCCGGCGGTGGCTGCTGACAAAAAGTGTAGTGGTGATAAAATGTGCGTTAAGAATCTATTTATATATTATATGACTTTGTAAGGACTTGAGTGTGACTCTGTGTGTGTGTTTTTGTTTGTCTTTTTCTTTTTTTCCGAATCGGATCATCTGTCACGTAAACACTCCAATTTTAAATATATAAATATTTTAATTTATTTTTAAAAAATTGTGTTAAGTTAGTATTAGGTGTTGACGAGGTATAATGACAAAAGTTGAAGTGTTTAATTGTTAATTGAGAAGTAAATTAAGATGTCTAAATATAAATTGTCAAAATTAAAATATTTTATTTATCAGTTGAGATTAAATTTGAATGTTGATTTATGGATTATATTTTTTTTTCCTCTTGTAATAAGGGTGTGTTTTGGATGTGAGATTATTGAATGTTTTTTTTTTCATTTTTTGCAATTGGGTAGTAGTAGTTATTATACTAACTATATGGCGGAGCTAGATAGACATGAAAGTGTTTATCAAAATCTTATTAGTTGGAAAATTATGTTTTATATATCAAAATCTAATAAATAATGTATGTTCTGATGAAATTTCTATCTCTGATATTACTATAATTTGCTTCTTTCTTCTTTTTTGTCTATGATCAATTTTACTATTATATATTTTTTAAAATCAAATTTTAAAATATTCTTCCTTTTTTAGATGTGAGATTATTGAAGTTTCTTTTTGGGAAATGCTTTCGAAATTCTCTTCTTAATTTGATCATAATTTTTTAATCAGATTTCAAAAATTAGCCTTCAAAATAAATTCAAATTTCAATAATTGATTCAGACCAATTTTAGTGAAATTTCACTTTTACTTATAAATTCAATTTTTTTTCCAAATAAAAAAAAATGTTTGGCCTCTTTATTACTTTCTTTTCCTTCACTTTCCATTTGTGTCAAAATGTGTATATCCAAACAAGGCATTAGGCTTCTAATTGTTTGGTTTGATAGAAGATTCCCTTAACACTTTTTTGGGTGGAGCCATGCCTTATTTGCTTCATGGCTAAGGCCTATGGACATTTTTAATGAAAAGGAAAAAAAATAGTGCACATATATTAATTAAATGCCTATATAACCTTTTAGAGAAAGTATTTAGGAATCCATTTTCTCATATAAAATCAAAAACCAAAAATCAAATTTTAGAAGTTTACTTTATCTAAACAACACAATAGCAAGAAGGGGGAGATTGAGAATCTAATACTTAGCTAGCAAATCAAGGGTGTTAAACAGTGGCAAAATCAAGAATTTCATAAATAAATAAATTTTTAATAGGAAAAAATAAATATATGAAGAATTTAACATCTTGTTTGGATGGTTTTTACCAGTGGTATTGTATTGTATTTAGGGACGGAGTTATCTCATGATTGTGCGTTCGATCGAATCCTCTAGCTTTGATTTAAATTCTATTTTTATATTAAAAAAATTATGAAGTATGTATAAATTATAAATTTCGAACTGAATGTCTTTTAAAAACTAAAAGTCCAAATCCATAAATCCTAAATCTTGATTATGCCTATGATTGTATTGTGTTATTAGTTTGAAATGTCATGTTTGCTTTGATTGTTACTTCAAATTTTATTGTATCGTACTGTTAGATAACAAACATTTTGCACATTTTACATATTTTTAACTTACAACTACAAAATTCAAAAGAATAATTAACTTTCTTAAACTTCGTCTCAAATAAAAAATAAACAAACAAATTGAGATGACTCGAGTATTAGATACAAATGATTAAACAAAAAAAGGTGTTTAACATGAATTTGCCCGTCCATTTCAATAATGGGCCGGATCATATAAGAGCCCAACCAACTATCTGGATATGGGCCGAATAAAACAGTTAATACCAAAGATTCATGGAAAATTCACATTCGTGTCAAAAAGTTCTGGGGTTAAAACGCTACTCCCTCCGTCCCTATTTAGTTGTCCACTTTAGAAATAACACACATATTAAGGCAACAATGATTAGCATAGTAAAGTTACAATTTTTCCCTTATTAATTATGATTTCAAAATAAATTTATTCAAGATAACTAATTAATGTTGGGGTAAGTTTAAATGAGGGTATAATAGAATTTTTTTTTTTGTCTTTTCTTGATTTGTCAAAATGGACATCTAAAAGAGGAAATATGGACAAGTAAATAGGGATAGAGGGAGTATTTAACAAAGGAGATTATGTACCCAAATAGATTCGAACCCAAGAACTCTGATTAAGTATAGTACTTATCACTCCACCACAATTCTTGTTGGGATATAAAACTATTTTATTGTTATTTACCATAAAGTTAAGGGAGTTCCCTAAAATTAACCAATTGAGCAACCTTCAGATCTCGGAATTCCCTAAAGTTAAACAGAGTTTATGTATGAAAATTTCCGAGCTTTGACATTGAAATTCTTATATTATTACTTTATCTGATTAAAATTGAGCATCGTTTTAGAAAGAAAAAATAATCATCCCAAATTAATTATCGATTCAAGACAATAATTAATAATATTTCTAACTATATAGTTTTACTTAATGAACTACTTTTTAATAATGCTCAATTCTAAAAAGAAATTCTTAATAAATATGGACAACGTATTAAATAATTCCTTTTATTTATTATTTTTTCTTAATGAGCGCGAAATAAACTAAAACAATACTTATTTTTAAGAGGAAGAAAGTATTACTATATCATATTTTATTATACATAACATAAGTCCATAAAAGCAACCTTTGCACTTTTACAACATAATTTCTTTGTCATAATACATAAAAGAAAAGGACAAAAAAAAAATACAATTTGGGGTTTGAATTGTGTGTTTCTTTGATTTGTCATTGAAATTTCATCAAATTTAAATTTATACCGGAAAACATTTAAATGGGAGTGAACCCTCTCTAAAATAAAAATAAATGGTGATTGCTTATTATTCCGTCATAAGTTTTGGTGGTATACTCAATATGTAATCTGATATAATGATCAATAGACTATGTGTAAAATTTAAATACAATGATTTCAATTCAATGAAGACAACAAATAATTTAGACAATTTTTTTCTATACATATAAATTTTAGTAAACAAAGTTATACACTACATATATTGATCGGAGAAAATTGATATCTCATAAAATAATCGAACACAAATTAACCCCACATCAATATTATTCAAATAAAAAGCAAACCTAAGTTTTTCTTCCTTTTTTATGTTATGGTCCTCTTATAATTTTGAAGATAACGTAATAAATTCTCCACATAATTATCTTGCCTTTCTTTGTCACAGAAAAGACTTTTCATCTCTTTAACTTTCTCCCGATATATTTCACCTTCTCTTTTAACGAGTACCAAATTCAGTGACTCAGCTATTGACTCACGAGTGAATGATCCGTCGCAGTCATCTCTTGGTATTGAATACGCTATTTTTTTCTCCTCCAAAAGCCTAGCATTTATCCCTTGATCAGCCGAAAATGTTAAGAGAACTAATGACTTCTCAAATTGTATTGCCTCGACCACTGAACTCCACCCCGAATGTGTCAAAAATCCACCAACTGAGTCATGACTCAGTATCTTGAGCTGTGGTGCCCAACTCGTGCACACTATTCCTCTTCCCTTTGTTCGATCTTTGAATCCTTCTGGTAATTGAGTCAATTCATCATCCGATTCTCCTCTTTTAGTTCTTAAAACCCAAAAAAATGGTAACCCAGAAAGCTCTAACCCAAGTGATAACTCAGTGAGTTCGTTTTGACTCGGTTTTGTCTCGCTACCAAATGCAATGTAAATCACTTTCCCCTTTTCTTGCTTATCAAGCCATAGTTTTATCTCTTTCCACGCATCCATCTCCGTGCTGTCATCTTCATACGGCGTTGTCGGAAGTTGACCCACCGGAAAAACCGGTTTCCGGTGAATATCTCCGACAACTTTCAACCATTCTGGTTCTAATTCCGAACAGCTCCTCACAAGCAAAAAATCACAATTTTCAACTGATTTACAGTAACGAGTAATATCAGCAATGTTGTCTTCCTCTCCCTTCATGGTAGCTTCGAAGATTCTCAAAACTTCGAAAAGCTTGAAAGCAACTGTGGTTTCAAACGGAACCCATTTTGGGGGAACGGTATATTCCTCCGGCGTTGTCCGAATTTCATAATCATTGTTCAATCCCGGTACAGGTCCGGTGAAACCAAGAAACGCAGCGATGAATATGCTGAAATGACCCGACGGAATGTTGAATTTTGAAGCAATTGAAGGAACCCAATAAGAAGTAAAATCGAAGAGTATAAAATCAAGATCTGAATCTTCGAAAAACTTAGCCATGAATTCTTCAAGTCCATCTTGAGCAAGTTTGAGGTATTTGACTTGCTCATAAGGTACATCGATGGTAGCTTCTGCATTTTCCGGCAACTTTTCCACGTGGGGCATCGGAAGTTTGACAAAATTTAAAAAGGGGGTAAGATCTGGTGGAAGTTTTGGGAGACGATCAATGTTTCTAGGAGTCGAAATAAAGGAAATTCTATGACCCTTTTGAGCTATGAGCTTTGAGAGCTCTAAATACGGAATCATATGACCAAAAGCTAACCATGGAAATACTCCAATATGCAATTTTTTGCTATTTTCCGCCATTTTTGTGTGCTGTGTAGAGCTGTATGGCCTTATATTTGTCATCATTTTAGTGTACGGTATTTTTATCTTGATGGTTGGCTGATTGATTTTTCCACACAGAAGATATTTTCACATGTTGTCAATCCACTTGCATTTTGAGTGACATTTATTGCGGAGATAATAGATACCCTATAAAATAATCAAGGTGTATATAAATAAGTCTGGAGTTAAAAGTGTAAAAAAAAAAATTGTCAAAATTTTTAAAAAGGCAACAAAATTCATTTTAGAACCAAGAGGGCAACTTTTTAACAGTTAAACTAGCGTCGTTGAAATTAGATTGACAGACACAAGACGCGAAATTCCATGCACCTTGCAAGGCGCAACTGCCAAGTCTCCAAAACTACCAAAAATACTCTCAACTAATCCCAATATTTACACCTCTTTCTATTCATTGTCCATGTCAACCAAGGACAATTTTATCATTTTAAAGAACTCCACCATTGATAAAAAAAAAAGTCCAAAAAAATTATTATAGATACATTTATAAAGATTCTGATTCCGATTCTATAAAAAAAAATCAAAACATAAAAAGATAATTAAGTAGATACATTTTTTTTTCTTTACCTATTGAGAGAGTTGGGTGGTAGATATATAACTATAATGTTTGAAAATGTGTACAAGTTCATTTAATTTTTTTGTTATAAATAAAAAATTCAATAATAAAATTACTAGCATCATATTCATGTAAATCTAGTATTTTTGAAGGGTAGTATATGTTTATGGGTAAAACTTTATAAATTTGAAACTAGAAACTTAAAGATTGAACCAATAAAGTTTAAATCTTGAAATCGTAAGTTCGACTATAATAATTTATCGTAGAGAAAAAGGTTTTGGACTTTTTTTTTTTTATCAATGGTGGAGTTCTTTAAAATGACAAAATTGTCCTTGGTTGACATGGACAATGAATGAGAAGAGGTGTAAATATTGGGATTAGTTGAGAGTATTTTTGGTAGTTTTGGAGACTTGGACAATTAAAGAGATTTTTTAAAAATTTGACAGCAGGTCGCAGAGTACCTATGCCTTGCAAGACGCAGACCGTCAGAGCCTTGTAAGGCGCAGGGTGGCTGCGCCTTGCGGTTGTAAACCTAATTTCAACGACGCTAGTTCAACCGTTAAAAAGTTGCCCTTTTGAAATTTTTGGCAATTTTTTTTACCATTTTGACTTCAGACTCGTATATAAATTGATCTGAAATCACAATTAAGGAAAGGAAAATGCAAAAACTCTAGTTTTTCTTTCGATTTCATGCTTTAATCATCTTGTAAATTTTGAAGAAAACTTAACAAATTCTCCACATAGTTATCTTGTCTATTCTTGTCACAAAAAAATATTTCACCTTTTTAATCTCTTCTCGGTAAATTTCACCCTTTTTTTCAACAGGTACCAAACATAGTGACTCAGTCACCGCATCAGGAGTGAATGATCCATCCCAATCATTTCTCGGTATCGAATACATCATTTTCTTCTCCTCCAAGAACCTATCATTTACCCCTTGATCAGCCAAAAATGTTAACAAAACCAATGGTTTCTCGAATTGTATTGCTTCAACTACTGAACTTCATCCTAAATCAGTCAAAATCCACCCACTAAGTCTTGATAAAATGATACTTTTTGTCGTTATCTAATGATTAATTTAAACAATACTATACAAATAAGTAACAATCAAAACAAATACTCCCTCCGATTAAAAAAGAATGACTTGCTTTCCTTTTTGGTCCGTTTCAAAACGAAGGTACCTTTTTTGGCAATATGTTAAATTCAATTTTCCGCATAACATGTTTAAAACCACAAGATTAAAGAGCATTTTGATACATTTGACATAACTTTAATTTGAGACCACAAGATTCAAAAGTCTTATTTATTTTCTTAAACTCCATGTCAAGTCAAAACATGTCGTTCTTTTTAAAACTGAGAGAATATGATATTTAAATTAATAATACAATACAACTGATAACAATCATCCACCAACATGGGTTGTGGTCCACTGGTGAAAGTGTTTCTCCCTTAACCAGATGTCTCGGGTTCGAGCCTTGAAGAAAATTCTGTTGCGAGCGCTACCCCCAAATAGGCCCTGCAGTACGCGATTGCCACGTCATTTTTACATTACCACGTGACATTTATATTAAAGATAAAATGGTCAAATATACCCTAAACTATTCGAAAAGCTCTAGATATACCCCCTTTTAAATAAACTACCCGTCCCGTTTTCAACAAATTTTTTTCGATAAATCCCAAAAATGAGTAATTGACTAATAAAAAATAGGAAAAATATGAAAAAAAAAATATAAAATTAACACCAAAAATTCGCAAATAAATATAGTAACCTTAAATTCAACAATTTCAACAATTTTTTTAAATTTTTTTTTTTTTTTGATTAATCACGAAAATGAGTAATTGATTAATAAAAAATATGAAAATGACTTTATACTAAATTTTTAGGTTATATTTTTCATATTTTTTATTAATCAATTATTCATTTTCGGGATTTATCGAAAAAAAATAAAAATTTTAAAAAATTGTTGAAATTGTTGAATTTAAGGTTACTATATTTATTTGTGAATTTTTGGCGTTAATTTTATATATTTTTTTCATATTTTTCCTATTTTTTATTAGTCAATTACTCATTTTCGGATTTACCGAATTTTTTTTGTTGAAAACGGGTCGGGTAGTTTATTTAAAAGGAGGTATATCTAAGACCTTTTCGAATAGTTTGGGGGTATATTTGACCCTTTTCCCTTTAATATAAATGTCACGTGGTTATGTAAAAATGACGTGCAATTCCATTTGACATTTAACGCCCATAAGGGCATATCTAGACGAAAAGTTGGACGACGAGGGCACGAGTGAGCCAAACTTTAAACGGGGGTATATCTAAACCTTTTTGAATAGTTTAGGGGCATATTTGAACCTTTTCCCAATAAAAATCAAAGCAATCTTTACACATTTACAATATATTTTGTTAATATATATAATACATAAAAGAAAAAGAAGCATCATTATTCATGGAGATAATTTATTGAGGTGTACATAAATTAATTTGAAATCACAATTATCGAAAAGTGCATGCAAATCCAAATGTTTCTTCCTATTTTATGCTTTAATCATTTCATAATTTTGAAGAAACCTTAACAAATTCTCCACATAACTATCTTGTCTTTTCTTGTCACAACAAAGATTCTTCACCTCTTTAATCTTTTTCCTATAAATTTCACCTTTTTTTTCAATGAGTACCAAACTCAATGACTCAACCACTGCATCACGAGTGAATGATCCGTCCCAATCATTTCTCGGTATCAAATACGCTATCTTCTTTTCCTCCAAGAGTCTAGCATCTATCCCTTGATCAGCCAAAAATGTCAACAAAATCAATGGTTTCTCGAATTGTATTGCTTCAACTACTGAACTCCATCCTGCATGATTCAAAAATCCACCCACTAAGTCATGACTCAGTATTTTAAGTTGTGGCACCCAACTCGTGTACACTATTCCTCTTCCCTTCGTTCGTTCTTCGAAACCTTCTGGTAATTGAATCAATTCATCATCATATTCTCCTCTTTTAGTTCTTAAAACCCAAAAAAAGGTAACTGTTGACACCCAATTTTGACACTCCCCAATATAAATTAGTCATCGAGATTCCTAAAATCTAAACTATTTGAAATAATTAGCTTCACAAAATCCAAAATAATTTTCAAGTCGTTTTAAGTAGTTTTGTCATTTTTATAAATTTTTAAAATAATAAATATGATATTTTATATAATTATGTGTCAAATTAGTATATTTTATAAATATTCGAAAATTGTCTCAAAACGGTTTTAGTTTTATTTAAATATTTGGCTATTTGGTCTAAATTAATTAATAACTTATATTTCGAGTTAATTAGTTTATAATTAAGTTAATTATTATATAATTATGTGTCTAACTATTATATTTTATAAATATTTGAAAATCATATCAAAAGATTTTTATTTCTTTTTAGCTAAGTGTTTTACTAACTTAGTTTAATTTAAATCATAATTACGAGTTTGAATTAATTAGTTCATGTTTAAATTAATTATATTATTATCAAGTTAATTATTTTATTTCGTCGAGATTAAGAAGCTCGTTAGTTAATTATGTTAATTCATCTTATTTAATTACTTGCCGAATTAACTAAAAGAATTCAATTTGGCTAGATTGTAATTCATTTGCCTAACCCTTTTATTTGCAATTTTAGCAATTTATTTCCTCACCCAACTCAATTTGCAAGACCAATTTTGGGGCCTTTTCAATTCAGCCCAAAAGAATAGCAATACAAAGAAACCCATTCCAAACGTTACCCATCAGCAACCCATTTTTCCATATCAATACAATACACACAACCAGCCAAACGTACAGCAGTTGCAACGTCCCAGCCCAACCAATTCCCAACAATACAATATTCACCCATTAATAAATAATACCCATTCATTCCTAACAATACATACAAACCAAACTCAGCCCAAAACCTCTTTAGCCCATTTTATTTCCAACTGACCAGCAGTCCAAAGACCTGACCCGACCCCACCTCGTTTTCTTCTTCCTCGCGTGACCAGACGCGAAACCCAGAAGCGTACAGCTCCCAGCAACTGGATCAAGCAGCAGCAAATCAGTACTGCTCCAGCAGTACTGTTCCAGTGCCATTTCTAGCCAAGAACCGTCCTTATAGTTGCGGGGTCACGCCACGTAGCTTGCCAAGGACGTTGGAATCGATCCAAGACGTCCATCCCCCATTTCCTCTTTGGGAATGAGGCAAAATTTCAGAGAAAATGGTGTTTGTCCGAATTGGTGAAAGGTTTTTGAGAGTTTGAATTTCGAATGGAGCCGATTCTCATCCGGATTCCCCCCAAAATTTGCCCTAATTTTCCCATATAAATAGCTCCTTTCTTCCTCACCGAGGGGAGAGTTTTTTTTCGAGTGGGAAATTTTGAGTCAAGAAGACATAGTCATACAGTGAAAATACATAAAACTCTTCTGAGAAAAAGTAGACTCTAGGATCAAAAAATACTATAAAGAGCATTTAGTTTCAGCTTCCTTCTTCCGAACGCGACTCTCCCGCTGCTAGTCGGGACTTTCGAAGCTTGTGTGTGGTGGTGGAAAAGCTCGTCGTTGTCCTCGTTCGCTGCCCCGAAAAGGTGAACCCCTTTTTTTTAAATTCTTTTTTAGCTTATTTCAATGTTGTTTTGTTTGCTTCCTTGAGTAACTTTGTTCTTTGTTTGATTCATTGTTGCCGTAAGATAAATGTTTGCTTGGTTTTGAATGAAGTTAACTTAGTTGATTAATGTAAAGTGTACCCTTCGTGTGAGTTAATCATCTTTAAACATCTATGGGGATTGTGAATAGATCAATGAGTTTATTGATTTGTTTTTTTTTATGAGGTTCAAATGCCATGTATTTACTGTTGGGTTCGTTTGCGAAGTGTTTTCGAGAGTTGTCATGCTTAATCTTTTAGAATTGGTTACTTGAGAATACGATCTAAGTAGGTATGTGTGGTCAGTATGTATTTTGGAACTGTTTTCTAGCCTAAAAATTGTTACTCTTCTCGTTTATTTTCCAAGTCTTCATGGCTGCTTTTTATTTAGTTTTCAAACTGTATGCTAGTCTTAAGTTTGTGTTGTGTCTTCTATTTTTTATTTTTATTTTTTCTCTTCTCTATTTGTGCGCATGTTCATGTTCTGTTAAGTGTTTTGAACATATCATGGCTTTTGCTTTCATTTTCTGAAGTTTATCTTAATCAGTTTCCATCCATATCGGTACAAATATAGATTCGTGCAAAAGTGTTAGAGTTTTCTTGTGTTTAATAGATTTCTTTTTTTTATATAGGACCCATATTCTGATTCTTCCACATCTCTGCCTATTTAACTGTTTTTTTCACTATTAGATGTATATCATGTTTAGTTAAAAGGTATTGTTCATGCTTATGGTTTCCTTGTTTAAGAATCATATGTTGCTAGCTATTGATTTTGTTTATTTCTTCTCATTTTCAGCATGTTTTTTATAGTTTGTTGAGTATAGCATATGCTTCCTTTGTTTACTGTAATAATTTCAAGGCTCTTTCTTTTTTTATTTTTTTTTTTTGGTTCAAAACGCCTTTAATCTTAAATCTGCTTTAGAAAATGATAAGTCGCTATGATTAAGATCATTTACTGTAGATATCTTGTTGTCTTACATTGTTGATATATGTTTGGCATTGTGTTGCGTCTCGATTCGGTTTATTACCTTGTATTGTCATGGAGGGTATTGCTTTCGATTGGGTTGAGATTGTTCCTCGCTATTTTGTATTTGTTTCTTTAAATGGCCCCCTTTTGATAATAAAATATAATTATGATGCACTTATTTTATGTTAGTATGTTCGCCTCTTCGAAAATACAAAACAGTGTGAAATCTTACTCCTTTCTTAAACAATAATGAAGTGTGCTTGCTTTAGTTGGTTATTACATTTTATTTTAATTGTGGTATATTAGTTGGTCATGTGAGCCGAATTGAATTGCACTTGTGCAATTTATCCGATCATATATCACTGTTTGGAATTTTCAAGTGTTAAACTTTTTTTTTCTTTCTTTTCTTTTCTTTCCAAAAGCTAATTGCCTATTGTTTCCTTAGAATATCATACAAATTTAAATATACATGAAGTTTGGGTAAAGTTTAAGCATGCTAGGAAGTAGACCTCAAAGTTTTATTTGTATATGATTACTGCGCATGGTTTGTTAATATTGTCATTATTTTCACGTTTTTGGAATGAGCTTACTTTGTCCTTTTGGGAGCCAATTGGAAGATGATTTCTTTAAGTTCATTTTATTATGTTTAGCATGTGCATTGAGTTATATTTCATGTAGCTTTACTTTATTATTTATAGAAAAGCATTTGAGTATATTAATTTGCTTATTATTTATTTTATTTTATTTTTCTCTACTTTTTTTTTACATGTAATGCTTCGCCGAGTCTATCTCGACTTTTACCACTGCCTCCTTGCATCTTCGAGTATCGAGTCAGCCCTTCGGTGTTCAAGAGAGTATCAAAAATGATGTACAGGTGTTCGGAGCAGATACACGAGATTTGTATACACTAATGCACATCTAGTGTATACGAAAAAGGGAAATGGGCCTAAAGGCCCCCAAATTCCGAAAAGTTGTATTTTGTTATTTTTAGGGCCTAAGCCCTTGTTATTTTACTTATTATTGTCTTGTTAGAATTTAGGACAGGTGGCAAAAACTGGGCCTTTTGGCCCAAAATGAAATGGGCCCAAGTATTGGTCCAGGCGGACAGAAAACCAAACTTGGGCTCGAGTCTCTTTCCCTCTTTACTTTATTATGTTTGTGTGCTCGTTAATATTTGCCGCTTAATCTTAAGGTTTTAAAAATTCAAATCCCCAAAAGACACCCATTTTGAATCAATTACTTAACCAAATTGTTCATCTCTTACTTGACTTAATAAATAAATAAGTATTTTTTACAAAATATTTCGCTTAAATAAAAGGTCAATATTTCCCTTTTCCCTTCTTAAAACGATTCTAACTATAAAAATTGTCCGATTCAAATTAAGTTAAAGTACTTTTAGCCAAATAAATTAATTGTTGGATAACCGCATTAGCGGATATTCTAGGTGCTTTAAAAACCTTCCTAGAATATTAATAGGAACCTCGAACCCTTCTTCAAGTTTTCACTAGATTCCTGTTTTAGTCTCGTGAAAATGAATAGTTTTCTTGATTTTTCTTAAAAATTAAGTGGCGACTCTAAACCAGTCCAAAATACATTTTCCAAATAAAACAGTAACCCAGAAAGCTCTAAGCCTAGTGATAACTCAGTGAGTTCATTTTGATTTAGTTTTGTCTCGCTCCCAAATGCCACATAAATCACTTTCCCTTTTTCTTGCCTATCAAGCCATAGCTTTATTTCTCTCCATGCGTCAATATTTGTGTCGTCATCTTCATATGATGTCGTCGGAAGTTGGCCCACCGGGATCACCGGTTTCTGGTGAATATCCTCTACTACTTTCAGCCATTCTGGTTCAAATTCTAAACAACTCCTCACAAGCAAAAAATCACAATTTTCAAAAGTCTTATACATACGAGAAATATCATAAATGTTCTCTTCCTCACCGTCCTTGCAACTTTCATAGATTCTCAAAAGTTCAAACTCCTTGAAAGCAACCGCGGTTTCAAACGGAACCCATTTTGGGGAAACTGTCAATTCCTCCATCGTCATCCGAATTTTATAGTTGTTGTTCAATCCCGGCACAGGTCCGGTGAAACCTAGATATGCGGCGATGAATATGCTGAAATAACCTGTCGGAATGTTGAATTTTGAAGCAATTGAAGGAACCCAATAAGAGGTAAAATCAAAGAGTATGAAATCAGGAGCTGAATCTTCGAGAAACTTAGCCATGGGTTCTTTGAGTTCATCTTGAGCAAGTTTGAGGTACTTGACTTGCTCATAAGGTAAATCAATAGTGGCTTCTGCATTTTTTGGTAATTTTTCAACGTGGGGAAGGGGAATTTTGACGAAATTTATGAAGGGGACGAGACTTGGCGGAAGTTTTGGGAGACGGTCAATGTTTCTTGGAGTAGAAATAAAGGAAATTTTGTGACCCTTTTGAGCTATGAGCTTTGATAGCTCCAAATACGGAATCATATGGCCAAAAGCTAGCCATGGAAATACTGCAATATGCAATTTTTTGCTGTTTTCTGCCATTTTTATGTGTTTTGTAGAGCTTTGTTTCATGGACTAATTATATTTGTTAATGGTTATATAGAGCTACTCTTATATTGATGGTTGGCTGATAGTTTGCCACCTTTAATATGCCCTGAAAATCTTATCTATTTGCTTGCATTATGAGTGTCCTTTTTTGGGTCTGTTTGGACAGTTGTTACATACTCCCTCCGTCCTTTTTTAGTTGTCCACTTTAGAAATGGCACACAGATTAAGGCAACAATGATTAGCACAGTGAAGTTACAATTTTACCCTTATGACAACTTTTCACTTCAAAATTACAACCACTTATTTGAATTAAAGTGAAATAAATTGGAAGGAAACAACATACACTTTTATAATTTTCAAGAAGTGTAAATAAGGGTATAATAGGAAAAAATTTGTTGTCCTTTATTGATTTGTCAAAATGGACAACTAAATAGGGACAACTAAAAAAGGAAATATGGACAAGTAAATAGGGACGGAGGGAGTATTGTTTTATAATGTTCATATTGTATCATTATATAATGTCGTACATTAATAATTTGAATGATAAGTTTATAAAAATGTAAATTATATGGTAGAGTTATGGTAAAAAGGTAGGATAACGAATAAAATAAAATTATTATGTAAATGATGAAAAAATATTAAGATAATGACGATATCACACCATATCGATCATTATACAAAATGAAACTTTTTATCGTTACCAAATAATGAATTTAAACGATAGATACAATAAAATTTAAGTAACAATCAAAACAAATATGATATTTAAACTAACAATATAATAATATAGGTAACAACCATCCAAACAATGTGTTAGGAAAGGCAAAGGGTTAAAATAGTATTTTGTGTCGCATATGCAAGTTGTTTGACATGTTCCTTTTCAATAGTGATGAGGTACGGTGGGGGTGGGGGGCAACAGAGAAAAACAAAATGGTGGTGGAGGGGACGGATGCAGAGTCAAAATTAGGAGTTTAGAGATTCTAAATTTTAGGATATTTTTTTAGGATGTGGTTCAAACACACAACTCTGGTGGAGATAATATTTTCACAGCCCCTTCCTTATATATATATATATATATATATATATATATATAACTTGCTAATACAAATACAGGATTCACGAAAAAATTATTGAGTTCATCAGAACCCCACTTAGCTCGGCTCTTGATGATGGTGACAACTCACAATGGGTTACGGAGAGCGAAAATGAAAAAGGGTGATTAGTGATAGAGATAGTGAAGAGACGAATTTAGTGTTTTTAATTATTTGCCATTTAAATATAAGAAAAAAGCTTAATCTATTTTAATAACGATGATAACAAATTATGGCATATTTAGATCCATTATAACACATGAACATATGACATTTTTAATTCAAATTTGAAAAAACTTTCTCTATGTTTTTATAAGCAAGTTATTTAGTACTTGGATTAGAAAGTGATAGGACCAGATTTTATTAAAATTTACCCTTTCTAAAAGGACCAAAACAGAATCCGAGTTTGGTCCAAAAGTGACCCGGCCCATATAAATAACAAAACAAAGTTACAGCCTACGTAGATAAACAGAAAACATAAAAAAAAATTGCTTTTATTCAATATTGTTTTAAAATCTTCTTTAAATATCACCACGCACCAATGATTATATATTGATAGCATAAAAATATTTATAGTATTGTTAGCATATATGAATTATAAACTCATTAAATTTTCATTGTTTACTTAAAATAAAGTTAAATTTGTTACCTCTTATAGTTGAAGACGAATTCTCACCCTCTTTTTTTAATGGTACCAAACTCAGTGACTCAGCCACCGCATCACAAGTGATCATATCCCAATCATTTCTCGGTATTAAATACGTCATCTTTTCCTCCTCCAAGAACCTAACATTTATCCCTTGATCAGTGAAAAATGTTAACACAACTAATGATTTCTTTAATTGGATTGCGTCAACCACTGAACCCCGTTCCAAATGAGTAAAACATGCACCCACTGAGTCATGACTCAATATCTTAAGTTGTGGTGCCCAACTCGTGCATACAATTCCTCTTCCTTTTGTTCGTTCTTTGAAACCTTCTGATAAGTGAATCAATTCATCATCAGATTCTCCTCTTTTAGTTCTTAAAACTCAGAAAAACGGGAACCCTGAAAACTCTAACCCGAATGGTAACCCAGTGAGTTCATTTTAGACTTGGTTTTGCCTTGCTCCCAAATGCCACATAAATCACTGTTCTTTTTCTTGTTCATCAAGCCATAGTTTTATCTCTCTCCACACTTCCATTTTTGTGTTGTCATCTTCATATGATGTCATCGGAAGTTCGCCCAGCGGGATCACCCATTTTTGGTGAATATCCACTATACTTTTAGCCATTCTAGTTCAAATTTTGAACAACTCGATCCTCACAAGTAAATATCATAGTTTTCAAAAGTCTTATACATACGAGAAATATAAAATATGTTCTCTGCCTCACCGTCCTTGCAATCTTTGTAGATTCTCAAAACTTCAAACACCTTGAAAACAACCCCGGTTTCAAACGGAACCCATTTTGGGGAAACAATGAATTCCTCTAGCATCTTCCGAATTTCATAGTCGTTGTTCAATCACGACACAAGTCCGGTGAAACCCTAATACGCAGCACTAGCGATGAATATGCTAAAAAACTCATTGAAATGTTGAATTTTGATGCAATTGAAGTAAAATTGAAGAGTACAATATCAGGAGTTGAATCTTCAAGAAACTTAGCCATAGGTGTTTTGAGTCTATCTTGAGCAAGTTTGAGGTTTATGACTTGCTCGTAAGGCATATCATTGGTGGCCTCTGCATTTTCTGGTAATTTTTTGACTTGGGGCAGAGTAATTTTAACGAAACTTAAGAAGCGGGCGAGATTTGGGGTAGTTTGGGGAGATGATCGATGTTTCTAGGAACATAAATGAAAGAAATTGTGTGACCCTTTTGAGCTATGAGCTTTAAAAGCTCCGAATACGGAATCATATAGCCAAAAAGCTAGCCATGGAAATACTGCAATATTCATAATGGCCCATGCAAGTGGATTCATAGCATTTTAAAATCATTTTTTAGGTGGGAAGATACTAGCCACCCACGAGTGTGACAGTATATCTAGCATGGTACTCCGTAATTCTAACACAATCACATTAATCGACTTATACTTGACTCAGGGTTATATTTTGGATAAATTATGTTTGCCTTATTGATTTTTTTAGAAATACGAAATATATTTTTAGCCAAAAAGTGTAATCACATACAAAGTCAATTATTGATAAGAGATGACCCAGAGCGTACCACACACATGGTCAAACTTGATTTATTTAATACTCCATAAAATAATCGAGGTGTACATGAATTGGTATGAAATCACAATTATTGAAAGGCGTATGAAAACCAAGTGTTTCTTCCCATTTCATGCTTTAATCTTTTCATAATTTTGAAGAAAACTTAACAAATTCTCCACATAATTATTTTGCCTTTCCTTGTCACAGAAAATATCTTTCATCTCTTTAATCTTTTCTCGATAAATAAAACCCTCTTTTTTAACAAGTACCAAATTCAGTGACTCAGCCACTGAGTCACGAGTGAACGATCCGTCTTGATCATTTCTTGGTATCGAATACGCCATCTTTTTCTCCTCCAAAAGCCTAGCATTTATCCCTTGATCAGCCAAAAATGTTAAGAGAACCAATGACTTCTCAAATTGTATTGCCTCGACTACTGAACTCCATCCTGAATGAGTCAAAAATCCACCTACTGAGTCATGACTCAGTATCTTGAGTTGTGGCGCCCAACTCGTGCACACTATTCCTCTTCCCTTCGTTCGTTCTTCAAAACCTTCTGGTAATTGAATAAATTCATCATCGGATTCCCCTCTTTTAATTCTTAAAACCCAAAAAAATGGTAACCCAGAAAGCTCTAACCCGAGTGATAACTCAGTGAGTTCATTTTGACTTGGTTTCGCCTCGCTACCAAATGCCACGTAAATCACTTTCCCCTTTTCTTGCTCATCAAGCCACAATTTTATCTCTCTCCATGCATGGATCTTCGTGTTGTCATCTTCATACGTTGTCGTCGGAAGTTGACCCACCGGAAAAACCGGCTTCCCGTGGATATCTCCGACAACTTTCAACCATTCCGGTTCAAATTCCGAACAGCCCCTCACAAGCAAAAAATCAGAGAGTTCAGCAGCTTTATAGATACGAAAAATATCAGAAACGTTCTCTTCCTCTCCCTTCATGGAAGCTTCGAAGATTCTCAAAACTTCGAAAAGCTTGAAAGCAACGGTGGTTTCAAACGACACCCATTTTGGGGGAACGGTGTATTCCTCTGGCGTCTTCCGAATTTCATAATCATTGTTCAATCCTGGCTCAGGTCCGACGAAACCTAGAACCGCAGCGATGAATATGCTGAAATAACCTGTCGGAATGTTGAATTTTGAAGCAATTGAAGGAATCCAATAAGAAGCAAAATCAAATAGTATAAAATCAATATCTGAATCTTCGAGAAACTTGGCCATTGATTCTTCGAGTGCATCATGAGCAAGTTTGAGATACTTCACTTGTTCATAAGGTAAATCAATGGTGGCTTCTACATTTTCCGGTAACTTTTCCACGTGGGGCATCGGAAGTTTGACGAAATTTAAAAAGGGAGTAAGATTTGGTGGAAGTTTTGGGAGACGATCAATGTTTCTAGGAGTCGAAATGAATGAAATTTTATGACCCTTTTGAGCTATGAGCTTTGATAGCTCTAAATACGGAATCATATGACCAAAAGCTAACCATGGAAATACTGCAATATGCAATTTTTTGCCATTTTCCGCCATTTTTGTATGCTATGTAGAGCTCTGTTTCATGGACGTTATTTATTCATGAATCTCAAGATTAGTCCCGTTATTAAGATTAGAAAGAATTATTTTTCAATTCCCAATTGTATTTTTTTATTCTTATATTGTCTTATCGAATCGAATCGTATCAAATTTTTTAATATATAGTTGGTTGATTTTTCCAAGAAAAAGATT